GCACTGCTTTTCCTCGTTTAGAAAATACCTGTTTTTTTCTCTCTATTAAAGAATGAGGAAACCTTCCGATAACGCACCTTTGTACTAGGGCGATTTGGCATTGCTTTCATTACTGAAAATTGTAGCAGTGGCGTAAAGACTCCTATTGGTTAATGTTTTATATGTTTTTGCCGAAATCTTTTTGAATTTTTTGGATATGTAGAATCTGATAGGCGTTACAACATTGTTACCATTGGCTTTTTCTCATCCCGTTTTAACAACACTTGACAAGCGAGACACTTTAACTGACAAAAACTTAAGAAGACTTACAAATTTAGGTGTGATATACGTTTTTACCTTCTATTTTTATGCAGGGTTTGTTATATCATCTTGATGAACTTTCTTCAAAAAAGTCGGACAAAGAAAATGTGGAAAAACAAAATAAGGTTTAAGTTTGTTCCCTTAAATCTCTGTATTGTAGAACAAAGGCACGCTGACTGGAACTCAGAATAGATTAACTTTGTCTACATTTGATGTTAAAAGTTTTTGCAACGCACATTTTTTATTTTAGTCTTATCTCAATTTCTTCGTTACGGCTCATGTTCACAAATATTTTGATTTCTGAATTGGTTCCTAATTCGTTTCTCATTGACGTTTGTCCTTTTGATTTGTGTTTCCTTTCTAGGTATCTGATCTTTACGCAAAGGTGTCTAAGTTTGATGCAACTGCAGATGTTGTTCCTGAGTTGGTAAGTGTTTCGCACAGTGTTTATATTTTCTGGGAGCACCAGGCACATTACAATGTTTAAACGACAATCATAGCTTTACTTTCTTCTTAACTGGCCATCTATTTGTGAAAATCCTGGCTACAACACTGATCAATACTTGCTATTAAATGCAGTAGATGAAAAAACAACTTGTATGAACTGCAATGACGACTTTGTTTTACCAAGTTCTGACTTTCCTGAGTGCTAAGATTGCTTTTTGACATGTGCCTATTTATATCTGAAGCTTTTCTACTCAGTTTCTTTTACTTGGCAATTCTATAACTTTTCGTAACTTTTACTATAATATTTTTTGCGAACCTCAATTATTTTCTCGGACCAGTGGTCCCAAGATCCGCTATATTAGAGTCTTAGATTTGACTACGAGTACGAATACCGTTACGCGATTGCTCATTTTCGCTTTTTTATCGTGACGACGTACTGATGAAAAAAGTCTTAGTCGTCGCCTAATTGAATACGCGATTTTGAAAAATATCGTAGTCTACACTACGAGTTAAGAAAGTCATTATTTTTAGAGCATTTTTTATTTTTATTTTTGCTTGAGTTAAAAGGCATATTTATTAATATCATAAAAAAGTGTTGATATATTTGCTTTTTTGATTGGCTTTGAAAACTGTATTGCCATATTACGAAGTTGTTTTTTTATATATTTATGAGAGAAACGTTTGGTATCTTTTTGTTAATCACTACTGTTACATTTGTTTTTTTTATTGCCGATCATTTTGTTCTTCGCGCCATTGTTTTTCTCGAAAAAATATTATCACTGACTTTATGCAATAAAATTTATTGAACAAAACAAAATATTTCATTACTTCGGTATGAAATAGATTATTTAGCCCTGCTAATCCGCTGTTTTCATTTCTCGCTGTAAAGCTATTTTTCCACAAATTCACCAAGAATGTGACAAGCTTCGCTGATCATTTGTTCAGTTACATATTTTGACTGTAATGCCAATGCGGAAAGGACACTTCCCGGAGAGTTTTTTCTTGCTACTTCAATACGTTTTCTACGCTTACACATTCTTGAGTAATGAATGCTTCAAAAATAAATATATTACAGTGTATTTTAACAACAATAATTCTTCACTACGAGTACGACAACCTGTTTATCGAACCCAGATTCCTCACGATCAAATCACATAGCGGTAATCATACTCGTAGTCAAATCTGAAACTCTATCATGCAGCCCAGACCCGCTTCCCCCCGCAAGAAAAATTCTAAAACGGTGTTACATACTTTAAACTATTGTTATGAAAGTGTTAGAGGGTAGGAAATTGTGCAGTAAGGCTAAGTAATAGATGTAGCTCGTCCAGGTTAGTATAGTCCTGAGAAGGACCGTTGGTGTTGATGTTGATTGATGTTTTGACAACGTCAGCGGTAGACGTTTAGATTCAAGCGAACAATAAAAGTCAGGTTCGCCGTATTTGTTGTTTGGTTCGAACGTCCTTGTATTTTGTCTGTAGGAAGATGTGTTTCGTTGTGTATAGTGTATTAATCTGAAGTAATGTGTTTATTGTTCGTTTAAGGTTTATTAAGTCATTTGTTAGGTTGCAGTGATTGTTGTGATATGTTTAGTTGTAGCAGTTTTTTGTAACTGTAAACTGCACCTTGTCGTTCGTTTTGTTGTTCTTTGTTTTTGACATACTGCAATAACTTACAAACAAATTAAAACCCAAATCTACAATCCACCAAAACCTTCATTAAAAAATAGACACCATACAAACTCCCGACAACTGCACACTGGTGTTTTTTCATTCAAATCACTGTTCACGAGTATTTCACTTGTTCTGGCTCTGACCTGTACAAAACTCTCATTACAAAGACCACAGACATACTCCTACCACCGACTGAAAACATTATGAAGCTACTGAAACCTTTCTCACCTTGACTTCCAGTACACAACACTAACACTAAAAACAATCACACCGAACACCAATGGTCTCATCCATTTCTGTTATAGTTGCTGAAATTGTCATGCAGACTATAGAGGTAACAGGTGTTTGCGACTTACCAATATGCACTACCTTTTTGGTTCCGCTGCTTAGACGATACGATCACAGCACTACACGCCCACGAGATTGATGATTTTCATACTCACATTAACGAACAGAAAATCTTCACTTCGAAATACATCTACACACCAAAGATGTCGAGGAAAACGGGACTCTTTCTTTTTTTGACTGTTTAATTAAACATGACAATCAAAAACTACGAACCACAGTTTCCAAAAACCAACACACACGGACCAACTACTTGACCAATCATCGTACAGCCTTGCATCACACAAAGCCACCACAATTTGAACATTAATAAGACGTGAACAACGATGCATCCCACGTGGAAAGTCTGCACCTCTCCTGTCAAATGAGCAATCATCCGCCTCCGTTTTCGCAAAGTCAGTTTAAAACATTGTCACGATTGTGCAGCGTGGGTATTGCCTGTAGCTGCAGTGCAAACGATTTTCTGGCGGTGGAGTGTGGAAGATTGCTTGGGGGTGCAGTGTAAACGACAGCTTATTACAGTTTAAACGATAGCTTGGAGGTTTAGTTTGACCGATTGCTTTAGGGTGCAGTGTGAACGATTACTTGGGGGGTCATTGTTAATGATTGATTTGGGTGCATGGTGAACAATTGCTTGGTGCAGTGTGAGCCGTTTCCTGCATTTGGAAATACATCAGTTTGGCTTAAATGGATTTACATTTATTTAGATTTATCGCTTGGAATTGCTAAAATCATTACACAATCAAGGTAAGTTCCTGAAAGCGATTTTAACGTCGAATGGCTATCTCTCACTTTTTGCAAATGTGTAACAAAATTTTAAAGACGTATTTGTTGACATGTTTTTCCTTTGAAAGTAAAAGTAAGAAACACTAGATTTCATATACTACTATTTTTTACACAAATGGTTAATTAAGAAATTAAGAAAATGAGCACATAAGTACGTACTACTATTTTTGGTGTCTTTAACACGATAATACACGATAAACTTTTTCGGCCATATTTCCAAAAATGGATGACCAGTGTCGTTAATACTTGTCTATTATGGGTAGTGCCAATAATTTTACACATGTTAAACCAGGGGTGGACAACATACGGCCCGCGGGTCGGGTCCTGCCCCTGAAGGGATTTTGACCGGTCCGCCGACTGTATCCGTTTATATCTGTGATTAAGATATTGAATATTATTCATGTAATAATCCGGCCCACCAATAACTTCATTTTCCTAAATCTGGCCCGCCGACTGGAGAAGTTGCCCGCCCCTGTGTTAAACCTTTTCAACATTTCTATCCCTTGTTTTTCGTGGCTTCATCGAGACAGAAAAATTTCGCTCTCAATGTTCTTGTTTTCAAACAGTTTAATGTTTTTTATTTTTGATGTTTTGTGCAATTAATGTAATCATAGTTGACAGTTTCCGGGTGGGATCTATAATTTAGATTGTTTAATTTACTATACAGTCACATTGCGGCTGGAAAAGATAAATATATGCGTAGTAATTTTTCATAAATAAATAGGCTTTTTTGTATTGTATACGTATACCGGTAAACGTACATGTCTTAGTCTCATAAAATATTTGCATTTTTGTAGCCAACCTGTTTAGCTCTTCTTTAACTCATTTGGATTCAACTCAAACTGCTATTGCCGGCCAACTTCAGACGCAGCAGAAACTTTTGTCACAGGTTTGTGCTGGTACAATTGGGTGTTTCTGTTTATATACCTGTGAAAATTGACATCCATGTTTGTGATGGATGCGAATTTTTATCTTTGAAAGAGTATTTCAGATCTATCTTAGTCTTATGATAGACCAGCTAAGTTTGATTTTTACTTGAGTTTTCTTATTATAATTATTTATTTGTATACCAGCTAGGTTTGATAACGATCCAGATTGATTTTCATACGCTCGTGTTTTTGTATGAAAACAATTTTTTCACAAAGTGTACATATATATTTTTGATTACTCTGTATACGAGGGAGGTGGGAGGTGCTCCGCGTTAGAAAAAGTCAGGGGCACGTGAAAGGTTAATCCGGCTCTGATGTAAATGCGTTGAATATGTTTTTCTAATAGGTTGCCTCGAACTTTGAAAAAAATGTTGCTTCAATTGGAGACAATTGCCGCAAATTAGATGAGCGAATATCGTCTCTCTTGAAAATGTACCAGAAATCGGGATCCTAGAAAATGTATGATGCTTTTAAAAATCTTTGCTTTTACTTGTTCATCAATGTAAAAGTCTGAGGTAATGTCTTTAATTGCAAATCTTTCCTTAAAGTCCCTGCCAAAATTAAGGACAACTTGAGATGAATAAAGATAATGCATGCTCAGGTTACGCTGTGTTTTTAATTTTTTGTTTTTTTTAAATGTTTCATTTGATCTCCTATTTATTCAGCTTTTCTGCGTCATGGGGTTGCTTTTGCGAAAGGTTTCTATGTGCTAAACATGGCTTAAATCTTGTTTTCATATATAGGTATTCAGCTATCCTTGCCTATGGCCACTAAAGAAAGTAGATCACGATAGACAGAACTCAAGAATATAAGATAAAATATAATCCGAAAAATCTAGGACATCTTGCAAAGTTAAATTCAAGTTATAAAGCAAAACAATTCAAACTGTATTATTTCGGCTTTATTTTAAAACCATTATCAGACAGAATGAAAAACTTGTCTTGTTTTATAACTTGAATTAAATTTCACAAGACTTCCTTGTTTAGATTATGTTAGATTTTTCTATTTAATAAAACTGTCGTCTGGTGAAGGATTACGGCTCATGACTGTTATATATAATGTCATAAATGTGAACAAGTCGACAAGAAAAGTACAGTTTAAGACAGCGGCATAATTGGCTGGGTATCAAGGTATCACCCAAATTAGGCGGGAGCATACATTGTATCTGGTGTTTGTTTTGTTATGTGTTATGTCTACCCGCGTTCTTGTTGTTATGTGGTTATGTGTTATGTCTATCCCGCGCTATGTCTATCCCGCGTTCTATACACGTTCTTGTTGGTTGTATTGCTTTCTCTATGACGTGATCTTTGAAATGTTTAGAGCCTTTAGGCTGAAGACTATTACCTATTTTATTCATAAAAATATCCGACATGGAAGGACAGTTTTGTGAAGAGAAAAATTCGAGCAGCGTACACAACACCGATGAAAGATTGATTAGAATTTTACAAAGACTAATGTATATGGGCTCCTTCAGTAATGAAAGAGTGATCGGTGATGACTCTCCAGCTCAATCGAATGTGAATGATGATCTCACAAAACCTGAGGTTAGAAATTTTACTTTTAGTGGAGACGAAATATGTACAAGACAAATTTTTGAAACTATTGCTGATTTAAAATTGCGTTTTACGACAGGTAAGTTTTCACGTTTCACTGCATATTTTATATTCGGGAATATATATTTGAATATGTTTAAATTTCTCTGTTTATATGATTGCTAAATTTCTGCTCGGCTAAACCAAATATTTTTATTTATCTGATAAGTGTTTTACTTGGGGATAAGCGACACTAAAGGTCTATATGTTAGAATGATTGTCAAACATGTGTAATTATTGTCACATTGTCAAATTATGTGATTTTCAAACTTGGCTATTAAACTTATAAACTTGAGTTTCTATTTCTCTATAAGATTTCGTAAGAAATTTAAAACCAATTTTAGCCTTGATATACCGAGAGATAAAAACAATGTAGTCTGATATGTATAGACCAGTATCACACAAATAGCAACTGTTCTAAAGGTTGAATTCTTAGGACAAGCAAACCAAGCAAAGCCTTAATTACAAGTCCCCCTTCGATTCAAAAGCGCAAAGTGCTCTCCAATATAGAAATTATAGAATTCATTTGTACATTAATAATGTTTTAAAAGACAAAGATTTCTTGGTGCGGAAACTACGGTAATGACGTTTGCCTGTCCTCCGAAATAGAGCTTTAGCTCTATTAAGAGTACGACTACGACAACGAGTACGAAGTTTGACCGTGTAAGGGAATGTCACGAGGAAGTTTGTTGTCGTTGTCGCTTCGTCAACATTTAGTTTTAGCTATAAACAACAGAGCAGTCTTTTTATTGTGAAAAACACCGACGTTTGCGAAGCAGCTACGGCTCCATTTGTCAATAATGATATCAACTAATCGGTAATACTGATTTTGCAAGAACATAGGACTCTTTAGAGTGAAAAATCTTCACTATTTTAAATTTTATGTACGATATATTTATGCTAATTTATTGTTTGTTTACCGTTCACTTTGCGTACGGAATACATGAAAGTTATCAAGGTCATATTTCCTTTTAAATGTACATATGCGCTCAAAAAAGGTTCTAAAGAAAGCCTGGATGCTCGAAATTAGTACTGTAAACTAATTTCTTACACAATGAAAAAATATACCTACTTTCTGTCCTTAAAAATACATCACAATACGGCTAAATAAATATTCGCGCCAAAATGACGTAATTCGTACTCGTAGTCGTACTCGTAGTCTTTGCTAAAGCTGTCTAATGTTTATGAAACCGGTCTACAATCTGTTCAAACCAACGGCTAGTGTGGCGTCGGTATGCAATGAAACGAAAACGCGAGTTACCATTAAGAAAATAAACTCCTAATGCCATAGCTTTGTAACAAAAGAATGGACTACATACAAAAATATTATGTTCTGCTTTCAACACAACTAAATTAACGCATTGACTAAAATTATGTTGAAATGCTTAAGCCAGGTGGGATTATGTTGTGCATTACTATACAATGTTTCTCCCGTATTGCTATTTAAATATTAGCTAGAATACGAGCTCTAGTTTCAATGAAGAAATATAAGAAAGTCTACGTTTCGGTGCACATAAGGCTATACGATACTATTCTATGCAATGTAAGTTGTATTTTTTTTTTGCTCCTCTGTTGGTTTCATAAGTCAGTTTTTTACATATAACTAAGCTACTTTTACTTTATCTGGAAAATACATTCAAATACCAATAGATCTTCAGGCCACTCTCTGAACGTGTTAAAGAATGTAGGCCGTAATCTGTGGAAGATTATCGTTCAAATATAAATGAATGCAAAATTTAGTTAGCAACAGCAAGTTTTTCTCAGCCAATGCATGAAGAATGTAAATCTTTGCTTCTGATTTTTTATGTCATCTGTGTAGCAAGGTTTACCAGAAAATAGCTTTCATGGCTGATTTAAGTTGTTGTTTTTTTCCTCATACGTATGAAGCTGGGCCTTTCTGCAAAATGTTTTGAAACCCAATTCACCACTCAGCTTATTATCTAATAACGTGTTTTAATTTAATTAAACTGAAGAAGGTCTTTCAACTTTGCAACTTCAAAAATCATTCGCCAATGTATTCAGTGGCGTGGCCAGGCCACAAATTTCATCGTGCAATGTTTTGAGTACGTTATTTTTTTAATACATTCAGTGGGGCTGCCCGTTCATTATCATTATTCATTTCTTTAGGAATCTATTGTTTTTACAGTGAGTGAGCACAGAAAAATTTACATAGCACTACCAAACTTGCGGGCTGCGCCACTGAATGTATTAAAAAGAAAATAACGTACTCAAAACATTTGCACGGTGTATGCAAAGTGCTCTCAATGGTCCTTCATCTTTTCATACATGTGTTACCTTTTATGTGAGAACAGCTGCTCAATGAAACCGCAAAATCACTTGAAAAAGGTTGTTATTGGGCACAAATTATCACTGAACTTGAAATTGTGTACGGTGTTTCTTGAAAAGTTAAAACTTTAATTTCTTCACAACAAAGTCAAAAATGAACATAGCTGCACAATTCCTGCAAGACTTCAAAAGCTAAAGAACAACGCATTATTTTGTTTTCAGATTTCACTATAAATATTTAAATCACTCGACACTAGTTAGCTATATCTGTATATTTATCTGTACTTTAGTTTCGGGTTTTTTTCATTTTCATAAAATTAATAAAAGATAAGTTGTGGTTTGGAATATATAAACTCGTGGTTTGCCAACTTAAAGTGAAAAGCATGAAAAGTAAACAGTTTACTCTAGTAAAGTTTGCTATGAATACATATTAGTTGAAACTGAAAATCATATTCAATACTATTTGCGAAATGCAATCACTTCCCAAGTGGACAAACATTTAAAGGCAAAAAGTTTTCATGTTTTTGCCAGCTAGAGTGCGCTTTATTTGTGCTCGGTTTTCATGCTGATGGCAAAACCATTGTCTGTTTTTATTTAATACAATTTCTTTTGATACAATCAAAACTTATACTGGCAAAGAATAATTGTGTTCATGTATTTTTCTTTTTAAGTGGTTCAGAAAAAACAATACTTTTAAACAAAAGTATGTAATTATCTTTTAAATATTTCTTTCATTTCGATGAATTATCCGATTTTTTATTACCCAGTGTAAAATTTTCCTTTATTTTTGTCATTTTGTTATTAATTTTTTACCCTTTGAGAGGATCAAGCTTTGTGCGAGAGATATATTATTAATAAAGAAGAATGAAGCACACTTATTACTTGTGTCACAAACAATGTGTCATTTGTGTAACTAGATTAAAAATTAAAAAGAGGCAAATGACGCCACATTCATTCGCACTCGCTGTGTTACCTTCTCAACCACACATCGAAGTTTATACAAAGATTTTTCTCTCGTAATTGTGTATAGATCACAGAACCGGTGGAATTTACTGCCTCTACCCATTGTATGGTTAAGCGACTTCAAGGATCACATTCTTGCATCACGTCTAATGTAAACACAGGCAGGCCAAAGACTGAGCAAGCTTGTGTCAGTAGACATTCGCACCTACTTAAGAACGATGATGGAAGAAGAACTCAGCAGGAAATGTCTTTTTCAAAAACTCAAGAAAAGGCAGAAGACGCTTTACACTTCAGCCAACAGGCGAGGATGAATGACTTATCGAATGAACGTAAGGTGCCTATATTTTTGTCAACCCTGCATGGTGATGCAGTTCCAGAAAGCCCCATCGAACAACCCCAACACACCAACAAGATGGCCCCGCCATCGTATGAAAGCTCGCATCACGACATGTTGTGTAGAGATGTTTTATCTGATTTAAAGTGTGCCATGTGTCATCGGCAATATATTGAGCCTCGACTACTTCCATGTCTACATAGCTTTTGCTTAGGATGTCTGGAAGATGAGGTATCTCACCGAACAGAAAATTGGATACGCTGTTTAAAATGTCAAAAAGATTTCGAGGTTGATGTAAGTATCACCGGCCGTTTTCATAAAGTTGTACGATAAAGTTGACTAGTTTGTTGAGATTTGGTTAAAAGATATGTTTCAATTTACACTACCAAAACCACTGGTTAACCTTCTTAAAATTGTTTTCAGAGTCCGTTTACAAATCCAACCCTTGCATGTCAGCAATATGGCAGCCCTGATTTTGTTTTGATTAGTTATTAATGAAAAGTCTTATGCATACCCAAACTGTGGCGGATCTAATAATAAATTACTACGGTTTAAATTACTGCAGTTTATTTTGGCATATATTTACATTTCTTAGCAATTTAGAGGCATACCATTGGCAATATTTTATTCTTTAGAAATTCAAAAGTACTTTGAATTCAAACTAGAGGAGTTACAATTTATTTTGACAAACGCCGGTCCACTAATGTACAAAAAGATTCCATTAAATGCTCGCAAGTTAACAAGGAAGATGTGTGCTTTTTCTTTATTTGTGAGAATTCTTGTTTCTTGGGCACTGAAAAAAATTGAAGAGAAAACAGCCAACATTCACGTCGGACTCGTGTGGTTGTGATCTACATAAATCTAACTATTGTAGAGTATCGTTTTTAGCTCTTATCTGCAACCTTCTATCAACTTTGTTTTCTGGGTTGATAATTTGTGTACAAACGTTTACGCTCGTTGTTTGTTGACCAAACTGGTACTTGTTTTAGCTAGTGTACATCATTGCTGAAACCCATTTTCGGGAGTTTTTTAGCATCAAAACCGTGAGTTAAAAGTGTATCATAGACTTGTAAAACTTCTAAGAAAACAAACACCTGTTGATTTGGAAGATTGCTTAAATCATCTCAGTTTGTAATTTCCTTTTGTAATACAGGGTGACCCAAAAAGATTCGTACCCATGAAAATTTCAATTATGGCTTTAATTAAAAAGCTATTTATTTCAAATTACAACCACACATCATTCAGTTTATGGAAGACTATTCACAAGAGTTTCGGCTATTTCTGTCAATTTTTAGTCAATTTATGGCTTTCCCAAGATGTGTTCCAAGTGTCCACCATTTCGTTGCAAGCAAACCTGTACTCGTCTGGCAAAGTTTTGAATCACTTTTATACACTCCTCTTTCGGGATGGCTCTTATTTTTGCTGTGATGGCAGTTTTAAGTTCTTCAGAAATAAGAGCCATCCCGAAAGAGGAGTGTATAAAAGTGATTCAAAACTTTGCCAGACGAGTACAGGTTTGCTTGCAACGAAATGGTGGACACTTGGAACACATCTTGGGAAAGCCATAAATTGACTAAAAATTGACAGAAATAGCCGAAACTCTTGTGAATAGTCTTCCATTAACTGAATGATGTGTGGTTGTAATTTGAAATAAATAGCTTTTTAATTAAAGCCATAATTGAAATTTTCATGGGTACGAATCTTTTTGGGTCACCCTGTACATCAAAAACTCTTTACTTAACACTACAAACAACAACTCTCATGTATATCTTTTTTCTTCCTTACTTCCTCTGTTCCCAGTCCCAATATTCTGATCTGCTATCATAGAATAGAGAATGCATACAGAGGCAACTCGCTGGTTGACGCGTGGCATTTTTTGTCCGCATGCGTAAAATAAGCTATTACTCTGGCAAGTAGCTTCACGCTGGCGTACTTTAAGATTTTGCGAAACTTACCTGTAATTTGATGTATTGTAAAGCGTTTGTGTAGTTTTATGTTCAAAAACACCTTTTAAACGTGTAAAAAGACCGTACTAAAGGGTGTATGCCAAATGTCAAGCAACCGTTTATTCCAATTATGGTTTCAATTGCTGATCTTGCTGTGTTGACTGCGATATAGCCAATACCCTCGTATTCACCAGCTCTGCGAGAAAAATAATACCATCTTTCACAGAAGCTGAAACCAGGCTAATCTATTCTAATCAGTAGTTTTCTCACTTGATAAAGCATGTTTGGTAGTGTTTTTTGGTTCCGTTCTTACATGCTTTCATGATGATGTTTGAAGCTGTTGGTAAGTCTGTGTGCATGCAACTGTCCCTAACAGGTGGCAAACAAACTAATCCAGTTTCTTGTGTGACAGATGTACCTCCTAGAGGACTAGGCAGAGTTAGTTATTTGACCTGATGCTGCAATAGGACTGGATGGCTAACCAACATTCTCTTTGCCATTCAATACCAAACTTGTGTTGGCCAGTTGAGAATTATAACTACTCCGGTGGCCTTGTCCTGTTCTAACTTTTGAGGGACCTTTAGAATGACACTGAAAGGCGGAAAAAATAACCGTTCATTTGGTCCAGCCCAGAAGAGTTGGTCGATAAGTAATGCAATCGTGTATCAATTATGTCAATAATTGGAACCTTGTTAACTGTTTTTGTAATTATGTATGTTTAGTATCCTTATTGCCTTCAAGATGACACATTAGATGCAGCCCTGGCTGACTAGAACTTTTGCCAGGAAGAAACACCTTATGGAAAGGGACTTGAAAGGAATCGTAGCTATTATTATCAGGTTAATTTCCAAATAAATGGAAAAATCTGCAAGGATTGGTCGACAGTTGAGTCTTCACATAGATTTAATGTTGCGCATGTACACACAGCAATGTTAATTAAAAACTTTCTTTTCATCAAACCTTATTTCTTGACATTTTTTCTATGTCCAAGCACAAGAGTTTTGCAGTGAACGTAGTAATTGTGATTTTGTTGTATGGAGTGAAGAAATTCTTTTTGTACAAAAAATTTTACAAGTTGAGAAGATTTGGAAAGAAAACGTATCTCGATTAGAAACATTTCTTATCTAGAGGATTCTTCTTGAGCTGCTTGGGAAACGGTACTCTCGAACACACTTATGTATAATGTATTGATAGAGAAGAGAAATTTTTTTAATTGATACAAAGTGGTCGCAACACACACGAATATTTGCAAACTTCTTTGGCGTAAGATTGTCGTCCCTGCATGTTTGTCGAAGCCATTGCTCTTACCTGTTTCGTTGAAGTTCTTGCTTATTTGAGTTCCCATTCCTTCTGATAGTTGGTAGGCGAAAAAACCGTCTATTCTTTTGAAGCAATGCGTCAGTTGTGACGTCAAACGCAAAGGGTCTAAATGAAATGTATTTTGGAATTTGCGTATTGAGCCTGGATGCAATCTTATCTATCTTTGGTTGCATTTGCATTCTATTAAGAGGCTGGTGTATGAAATGTTGATTTAACATCCATTCATTACTGATGCTTAGTATCCTTGGCTCCCTATCTGCATCATTGTTAATTCTCCTAGTGATGTGCACTGTCGACACCTAGATGTTTCTATAAATACACCATTTCCAAATGTTTATAGCTAATGTATTACTTGGAGTTAAGCGGCTAGTGCTCATATGGTTCATTGCAACCACTTCTGTAGTATTGTCCGTTGTTTGTGTGTGTGTGTTGCATTTTTTTACATGCAAGTGCCTAAAGTGAAAGAAGGGCTGCTTCTAATTCCACGTAATTTATATACTGATCAGCTTCATAAGGCGACCAAAGGCCTCCACATGTAGAGACCCTTCACACATTTCCAGGCGTAGATCTTGCGATTTTACTAGCTCAAATTTTCCGCACAGTTGGAGACTCACGAAGATAAAGAACTCAATCCCTTCCTTCAGTTTTGCCTCTCAGCTCGCCTTTTATTTGCAAGATCACCCAGATAAACACAAACGACAAGGGGGCGCATTATAATCTGTGTTGTTTCTGTCACCCGAATCCTTAGATCATGTCGTCACCATTATGTTTAACATTATCAAGCATTTCAGGTACTTCCTGCTCTGAATCGTAGGAAGCTTCCCCAAGCACTTTCTGTTTTCTGCAAGAAGGCCCTTGTGGGATTTCTTTTTGATATTGTGACGGTTGAGACACATTATTCGAAGCTTTACGCTTCGCAAAAGCATCGGTGATGGGTGTGTTTTGCGTTCCTGCCAAAGAATTCAGTTTCCTTTTCAAGTTACTGATAGCTTTCCACATAACGTTTGGACTTACGTTTGTGTCACAGGTGATAAAATGGTCTTGTTCTAAATCTTCTTTCTCCTCGAATGATCTTTCTTCGTAATTAACCAAGCAATAAAAGGATTTTTCCTGCAACTTCTCATTTACTTTATTCGCTATTTTCAAAGCATGCCACATATGCTTTAGCTTACTTGCGCAATGTTATGTGATTCCTATCGGACGTAGACTATGACGAAGAAAAATTATATTTTAAAAGTGTGGTTTTGGAATATCAGTCGCCTTGTACGCAAAAGATTTCGGAAGATCATTCGAGGTTGTGACAAAACATGATATAAATAGCCTGGGAGATCGTTATTTCACTGCTAACACGTTTATCATTTTTATTGGTAAAATTCAACCGTTTCAATGAGTGAATAGCTTATACTTTTGATATAAAACATTATTTTCAGAAGTATACAATTATTACTTTTATTATAGTTTTGCTTCAAAGTCATTTTTCCTCTTTTAAATTTGTCAGGCAAAGTTATAATTAATTGTCTGATCTTTTTTCTGGTTGCTATATTTCCCGCACGTGGTCAAGCCATAAGGCCAATTGCTTGCTTGATTCTCAAGTAACGACTGTGTTGCTAGTGACTAGTACCATGTAGTATTTCATCCAAAGTCTAACAGTGCTTGTATTTTTAACAATGAAGCTATTAAATTTTTAAATAAAAAAAAATAAACTGGTTTTTTGAAATTTAAACCTTTTGTAATTGTTAGAGCTTTTAATAAGCAATGGTTATCGAGGGCAAAGACTTGTTTTTAGCCATGTAGTCAGTGTAAAATGAATACGGTTTGGTAAAATTTTTTTATTTTTTTATATTTCTTCATAAACACCTCGATAGAATAAGTTTCTAAATATCATTCAATTATGAAAACACTTTTTAATCACCAGTGCCTGCTCAAAATTATTAACCTTTTTATCTGAAAGTTATGTCAAATGATCTAGACTTCGCGCTTGTAAGTATTCTAAAAATGCTGCAAAGAATAAAGTGAACCAGAAGAAAGCGGTCGAAGTCGTTCCATACCCACAACCGCATGCTTTCGCAATTGATTCTGCTGAATACCAGGAGCTAAACATTTGTCGCTAAAATGTCATTATGGAAAATGCCAATGCATATGTTCAGGTTTTCGTAATATGGACTGTTCCAAGCTCTACATTTTTCTGAAATGCACTAATGCTCTTTCATATGAATGAAGTGGGTGATAACATGCTTTTGTTCTGACATTTCAAAGCATTTGAACAAAGCAAATTAAACATTCATTATCTTCTTGTCTGCAGTGCATTGAAAAACCTGACTGAGATAAACCACACAAGGAGCGCCAGTGTTGGTGGAAATATTTTAGACACCATAAAGTCCATATACCAGTATCATCTGAATGCCAAAAAACTATTTGTAAGAATGTACATTTATTCTGCCACTGTTTTGCGAATGAAAATTGTGCAGTAGCTAATAATTTTAATGCAAACCAAAGACAACAAGTCTCAAATTTTACATTTAAACTCACTTAAAACAGTTCCAACTTCGTATATTTTTGTTGTAAGTATTCTACTCTTTACTGGCCCGAGTAATGGAGTTTTTTAAACTTCCGGTGTGCAAAGAGAAGACTGCGTGCAACGCTAACGTCAGAGGTTACCGATGCGAGTTGCCCTTCTATGTATTGTCTATTCTATGCTGCTGTGTGTCACTCGAAAAAGTTGATATTGACATTGAGTGCGTAAAAATAAAAGCTAATTACTGTACTCGCAGCTGCAAAATTGTTTTTTGTTTAACATATAAACATATAAATAATTGTCAACACTAATGAAAATTTAGCAGCACACCTCTGCTCTCTCGTAATTAATAGATATAACCCTGCTTTGATCTAATGTTCTGTCTCGCTGGAGAGACCGTAAGGAACTGAAGCGAGAAAAGAAATTTTCCTCTAAATGATTATTTGGTAATTTATGATGTAGTTTATTCGCGATTTTTACTGAAATTTACTATTAGTAAAGTCTCTCGTCTAGATATACAAGCTCTGATATACTTAAAATTCACATAATCTTTTATTGTTTTTGTGCAGAATGTTAATAGTTTACCTCCAGACATTTTCGTCAATACGTTGCTTGACAGAGCTGCACTTGAGCGTTTTGAATTGGAACCTATTTTCTGCAGTAACTGTGACGACAAATTACCAGCGACTGTTCGCTGCCTCGACTGCATGGATTATCTTTGTTCAACATGTCACGTAGCCCATCATCGATTGCGTTTAACTAAAGGTCATCAGGTGGGATTACATTTCTTGTTAAATCATTTTGGATTGATGCCATTATAGGATATTGCATAGGAATAGTTTTGAAATATGCAGCAAAAGAATCTAGCAAGGAAATGTTAGTTTTCACAACTTTGCCAACTTTTCAATAAAAAGACGTCACGTACCCAAAAAAAATATGAGGGGGAAATGCTAAAGATATGGTGAATAGTCTTTTAAGAAAAAGGTTAGAACTTAGTTCTGCCTTGCGATTTTATTGTTGAGTTTTGCAACTAAAATGCGTTCTTTCGTCAAGAGATTATTACAGTAAACATACTACAAATCTAAACAATGTGGGCATCGTTGTCCTCTCGTGTTCTGGTCTACCGATAAGTTTTTCTTCCTGTTAATTTTGAATTGTTAATTTTGGCTCTGTTTACAACAACTGGCACCTGCTAGTACTGTTGATTTGTACATCTGCGACTAGCACCTTGCGTGTTAACTTAGCACAAGCGAAGGTGTAATTTAAACACCAATATCAAAACTTTAAAATTTTTAGACGCTAAATCAACATTTTTGCCGTTTTATAGTGTTAAATCAGCGCCCACATCAGAACTAAAATAATATATATGCTTCTTTTATCACCAACATAAGGCGTACGTTAGCACTAGTATAAGTTAATTTTTAGCACCTCAAAATCAACAGTGTTGCATTCAGTGTTTTGTTTCTTTGTTCTCAAAGCCCTTGTTTTTCAGGGGAAAAGACATACTTCCCTCCACAATGTATTAGTGGCTTTTTTAATTATGCTAGTTTTGAAATAAATTGAACGGTTTGAATCCGGGAGAATCGTTACATGTGTGTGGATGTAGATCGTCCAGGTTAGTAGAGTCCTGGGCAGGAGTGGATACAGGTTGATGTTACTGATGCTAGTGCATCAGTCAGATTTTCAGATATTGCGCAATCTTCGTTATTCCAAAAAACGGTCAAAAGTGAAATAAATCGGCAAAAATGCATACAGTTCACCCTGTGCATTTCTAGTGAATTTATTTAATACTGTTACGTTAAGAAAATAGACATTTATGTATGATTGAAAAACTTAAACGAAGTAATACAGAAATGAAAACAGATAGTCCGATATGTAAAGAGTGACATTTCAAATCTTAGAAGACAAAGATTTAAATTTATAAATATATTTACTCACTCGGAATTTCAAGCAGGGTATGTTGTGAAAAGTGCTAATAATGACATACACGCCTTGCTCGGTTATAATAATGTACTCGTATCTTCTACTATTGGTAGAATTGTTCTTATGATTGTTTCTACCCTTCTCGTTCACCGAGGAATCAACAGCACGGTCCGGTTAAATAACAATATAATTCATTAACTTTATAAATGACAGTTCACGTGCGAATACACGTGTTTACTACAATCGGGGCAAATCCAAGCTCTAATCGAATATCATGTATTCGAGGAAAGAACGATTTAGAAACCAGATTCAGTATACCACGCGGTCAAACAATTTATTTCTATTAGAAATTATAACTCACTATTGACTGTATTGAATTACTAATAACTCGTTTCAAGTTGAAAACAGAATGAACAGTTTAACATCCGATGAGTCAAAAAGGCCGCAAATCATTGTTTTTGGCCTTTTGATTGACATGCTTTTCTCCTTTTACAAACACCAGTCTTGGAATGTTAAAACAAAATAAAACAAATTCCGAAAACGGACATCTCGTTTTCTTGGTATTCAAGATAATACAAGAGTTTTAAAACAAAAATGGTGTAATATTTCGTCTTTATTACAACGGCAACATCAAACTAATAGCACAGAATAGATACGTATACAATCCTTATTCTGTGCTAATAGTTTACAATGCAGGCTGCGAAACTTTTATAAAGTTATTTACAAGCGAAAGTGACAGTTACGTAGTTAGAGAACCAAAAGACTCAACAATTAGGCGGTATACTTACGTTTAAAATAGAGATAATTTCTTACAAGGTTTGAGAGCACTATTTAGTTGTAGCATATTGTGTTTTATCAAAAGCGTTTCTAAGATGAGAAGTTGGTTAAGATTATTATTATTACAGCGATATAAGATTTTGGTAATACTTGGAATCATATTACAAGGATTAAATGGCACGTGTGTAAGATCGGGGTCGGAATCAACGTCAGGAAGTGAGAAAAGGTGTGAGATGTAGTTGGCGTCTGGGCAAATAAGTAAATGTTGCGACATAGCACTAGAATTGTTGTAAAGGCCCGTTTACACGAGCAATTTTAATATGACATTTTTATTCGACAAATATATTTGACCGTGTAAACGACACAAAATATATGTAAATAGATCTGTTCGCATAGAGATTGATGTATTGCGCCCATTGTAGTGATGAACAGTTTCATGCCGACACTTCATTTTACGACGTACGTTTAATGCAATGTTTGTGCAAAATGGCGCTGATCAAGGCCGAAAAACTTCAAGCAGTAGCTATAATTACATCTCTAATACTGCACGAAGTGAAAAAAACGAAAGTCACGACGATGGTGGGTTAAACCGTGGAAAACTGCGCAGCGCCGATATTAGGGTTAGCACAAAATTTAATTCAAGAGCTCCGAGTGAATAACCAGGAGCGGATCTAGACCGATGCAACCGATGCGAATGCATCGGTCAAAATATTTAGATATTAAAATCTGCGAGTTTGCATTTTAATGAAATAAATAGCAAATATTATTTTCGAATTATTTAAAACGCACATTTGACAGTGATATATTGTTTAGTTAACTTATAGATTTAGCAGTTTTAAGCTAAAATTTGTTCTAGAAATAACATTTGTGTTCTCCGATAATTTTGTCGTATTCCATGACACAAATAGCGAAAGAAAAGTCGATAAAATTTAGCGAAATTTTGTCGTGAATACATAATTAGTAATTAATTTAATAGTATTCTGCCAGCACGTCACGGTAGATGGAAGAGGCATCGCTACGTCACAGTAGATTTGCGATGCATCGGTCGATGCATCGGTCCCGAGTCCTTTTCCGCGTGAAATCTACTGTGACATCAGCAAAACCATTGTTTTAGGGCCTACGTCACGGTAGATTTTGCCGCTGAGCGATGCATTTTCCATAATTTTGTGATTGTGGGCACATGGCACCGATGCATTCAACTTTGAACTTCAAAGTTGAATACATTGTTATTTGATCACTTGATATAACTCGCAATCATCGATTGAAGTCATGGCTGTCGAGAATATCAAACACGATCTGTGTACTCTGCTTCGAGAAGAGAAGTCATTTGATATTAATGGAGTGCGTCGAACCTATGAAACGAGAGCTGCTACTTTTATTTCAAAATCCTCTCCTTGGAATCCCTTTTCAAAGGGTAAAAATGGGAGAGATATGTCAAGTGAAATGTTAATACCTAAGCACTTGACAGTTCATTGGCAAAGTGGAGAACTAAGAGCTTTAAAGTAAGTAAATTTACCTTTATGCTTGCATGTTTTAAATGTAAATAGTGTACTCATTTCAGACTCAGAGTGTAGTCGTGTAGATAACGACGAACAATCATCATAAAATATACACGATGTCATATTACTTATGCAGCACTTATACTTGTATTCATATGTAATATAATACAAACTGTAATATGCAGGGGGTAGGTGCGATTTTAGTTGCATTTTAGTTTATGTATTGTATGGATTACATTAAAAATGTAATGACTGTATTCCTTCTTCCAATATACTTATGACTTCAGTAGAAGCTAACATTTTCTTTTCCAAATAACCCTGTCAGACATTTAAGTTTTGAATTCTTCTGATTTCTAATTTTTAGCCACACAATGAGAATTTTCTTAACTCTGCTATATTTAGAACTAGAGGTGATGGTAATTGTCTGTACAGAGCCTGCTCAAAATTACTTTGTGGCAAGGAAGACCTATGTCATTTGCTGAGAGACTTGACAAGCATTGAGCTATTCAATCACCAGGAGTATTATGCTAACCACCCTTACTTAAAAGATAAGTTGCATTTTTTTAAGTCAGAAAATACTGCTTTTTCTGCATCAGTATCAGATGTGGCCTTAGGCAATGGCTATGATAGGAAAAATCCAAGCACAAAGGTAATAGTAGTTAAAGAGGAAGCTCTAAATAATGCATGCAATGGTACTTATTCTTCACTTATGTGTATATTTGGTTTGTCTTCTGTCACTGGAATGACTATAATTTCAGTTTATCTCGAAAAGTTGGACCAGGAGACCAAATATTCACAATTTCTAAATGGTAAAATTCTTCCACGGCAAGCACACCAACATATTTCAAGTCAACTTGTTCAGCGTGCTAAGTTAATTTTAATGTGGACAACTACTGGTGCTTATTCTCTTCCAGAATTAGATATAGAATTTCAACCCAATCATTTTGTACCACTAATTGAATTTAATCAAACTAATAACTCAAGAGTTAATAATAAAAAAAAAATTACTGACCACTTTAAAGTTGATGTCTTACAGAAAAATAAAAGTGGACTTGAGCAACAAATAGACGCAACTTTGGTAGCACCTGCAAAATCCTCACCAAGGGAAGACTTAGATGGCAGCAGCTATGATTGCTTGAAGACTTCCTTAAAACGTGGGTTAAATTAGTGATTGTTCATGTGCAAATATATTTTAATTATAGGTAAGCATGCTTTTCTAAGAACATAAGTAAAGCATACCATGCAATATAAAGTATTCGTTGTGGGATGGAGGATATTTTTTGTACATGTGAATAAATCCTTCCTTCTAAACATGAGATCGTCAAATTGGCAACAAGCTTTCACTAAAATGCACCAAAAACAATGACCTATGATATATGACCTTGCATGTTAATGCGCATTCAGGCTTTATTATTTTGAGTGCAGTCGTATACCTACATCTTAGTAATGTTTTATTTAGGACCTCTTTCATGCGACTTTGAAGATGGAAAAGTATCAAATGCTTCTTGTCCCTTGTCAAAATCTGTAAAAACTGATATGACAGATGTTGATCCCTTGGATATTGGACATTTTGTATCTGTGGCGGCCCTAGATGACGACACAAAGCTAAGACTTATAACAAATCACTGGAAGCCTCTCCCTTCTTTCAATTTTCCTTTTTCTGAGAATGGTAAATCTTCAAGAAAATTTTGTGCTGGCTGGCTAGATCGTTGGTCCTGGTTGTGCTACTCTAAATTATTTGATGGAGCCTTTTGTTATTATTGCGTTTTGTTCGGTCATCAAACAGGACATAATGGTTCAAAGCTTAGTAAATTATTTAAGGAACCCTTAAGAAACTGGCAAAGTGCGGCAACAAAATTTTACCAGCATGACAAATATTCCCTAATTCACCGTGACTCCAAGTTACGTTTGTCGCAATTCCAACGTGTGATGAAAGGTAAAACTATTGGCATCGACGAACAAGCCGATCATCTTAGAAGTGCCCGCATTCAATACAATCGTGACGTTTTAGGCTCTTTTATTAAAACTATTATACTGGCAGGCAGACAGAATCTTCCCTTACGAGGCCATCGTGACGACTCAAAGTATTTTCTATCTTCTAATCCTGGGAACTTTCAAGCCTTTTTGAATTTTAGAGTAGACGCGGGTGACGCGAAACTAGAAAAACATTTTGAAAATGCAAGTAAGAATGCAACTTATCGTTCGAAGACAATTCAAAACAAGCTGATAAAGATCTGCGGGGAACAAATCAAAGAAAAGATTGTTTCTGACATCAATTCTAGTGAATGCCTAATTTACTCAGTCCTTGGTGATGAGGCAACAGACTGCAGCAGTATCGAGCAGATGCCAATTGTTGTAAGGTATGTTGACTCAAAGCAAGAAATTAATGAACGATTTATTAAATTTGTTGAGTGTGAAGGAATGACTGGCGAAGCGCTAGCGAAGAATATCGAAGATACTTTAAACGAAGTTGGGCTACTACTTTCCAACTTTTGTGGTCAGTGCTATGATGGTGCCAGTGCAATGTCAAGCAAATCAAAGGGAGTTGCTGGTCGTATTTTAAAGAAAAATCCAAAAGCTTTGTATATCCATTGCGCTAGTCATCGATTGAACCTTGTTGTTGCTAAAGCATGTGGTGAGCAAACTGTCAAAAACATGTTGGGGCATGCTCAAAAGATCTTCAGTTTCTTCAGCCCATCCCCCCTACGAATGCAGTGCTTGAGGCAGAATATGGAAAAGTCTGGGTTACGTCGTAAAAAGCTAGGAGCTCCATCCACAACGCGTTGGGTTGAACGGATACGTACACTTGATGGATTTGTGGAAGCATTTGTACCTGTTTTTCAAAGTTTAGAGTACATGAAGCTCAATATGAATAAAGATTTTGATAATTCAAGTAGGGACGCAGAGGGATATCTTCGTTCCATAAAATCTTTCGAATTTATTGTTAATCTTGTGATTACATCAAATGTTCTGCATCACACAATGTCGTTGACTGTCCAACTGCAGCAAAGGATGATCGATATCGCTGAATCAATTAAACATATAAATCTTTTGAAGTCACAATTAAAAATTTTACGCAGCTCGGCTGATACAATTCATGACCAGTACTACGAAGAAGCAGTGGAGTTAGCAAACAGAGTAAACGTTGATGAAAAAATTCCTCGACTTTGCAATGTTCAGACAACTCGTGAAAACTATCCTGCACATACAGCACGTGAATACTACCGCATGAAACTAACCATCCCTCTTCTTGATCACTCGATTGAACAGATGGAATTTCGGTTTTCTTCAGAGGTGTGCGATATTTATCGTGGATTCTATATTATACCTAGTATTTTTCTCAATTGCAAGGACGTTAATTGGAAGGAAGAGTTTATGAAGTTTGCTGTTGCATATAAAGAGGATATGCCACACTTTCGGAAAATACATGCTGAATTAGGATTGTGGGAAACAAATTGGAAAGGGGCTTTGAGAAAGTTAAGTACGATTCAATTGCCGACACGCTTCGAACTTGTAACAAACTTGCGTTTCCAAATATATTTACAGCGCTTAAGATACTCGCTGTTGTGCCAGTCACTACATAAGAGTGTGAAAGATCCGTTTCTGCCCTTCGTCGAATGAAAACTTGGTTACGTAGCACAATGATCAACGAAAGGTTAAATGGATTAGCCCAAATGCATATTAATGATGATATTAAGTGTGATGTCGAAGAAGTGATTAATACCTTTCCTAGACAAAACCCAACGAGGATACAATTTCTTGATATCCTGGAGGATAAAGAAACAGATGCTTGACGATGAGCTCCATGAGAAATTCTTAATGCTGATAAACAACATACATTTTCTTTGAGAGTTATCTTGTTTTCAGCCGTTATTGAGAGGACGAAGACCTCGTTTAAACATTGATTTTCTTAAACATTTCATCTTTGCTGTGGTTGGAAGAAGACGATCTTTCAACATTGCTTTTATAAATGTTGTCATCTTTGCTGCCGTTAGAAGAAGACCATCTTTGAACATTGCTTTTATTAAACTTTTCATCTTTTTTACCGTTGGAAGAAGACCACCTTTGAACATTGCTTTTATCAATGCTGTCGATAAAATTTACGCTTAAGATTTTTCTGTCACCTTTCCCAAATCGCTGGAAAATGCTTCTCGGATAGTGAAAATTCAAAAATTTTCTTGGGGAGCATGCCCCCAGACCCCCCTAGCGGTGGCTCGGGCCTTCGGCGCTCGCAATGCATCGGTCAGCTAAGGAGCTGGATCCGCGCCTGGGATACGTAACGAAGCTCTGCACTTCAGATACAACAAATTGTAGTTACTTTGAGGTTCTTTGCTTCGGACAGTTTCGTACAAGTTGTACAAAATAATTGAATTGTTGACATGTCTAGAACGGTGAGAGCTTTATCACTGGCATTGAATAGAACTAGGAATCACTTTTAAAAAATGGACATCTTCCATTGATGAAAAACAATTTAATGGATAAAATAAAAACAAATTTTTTTGCAACCTGGCTTTCCGTCTGTGATTGGTAGTGTTGATTGAACTCACATTGCTAATTAACCTTATTTGAATTCGCACGCTTTTAACCGAAGTTTTAATGTCTTATCCCAGGGTTAGTCAACCCAGCGCTTAACTCAGCTTTGAACAACGCAATTTTAACAAGGGGGAATTTCGTTTTGAGGCAATCGGAGGTTTGTTTACATTTTAAAAATTAGCCAGTCAGAACTCGCAAAACGCAAAAATGTAAACAAATGGAGTCAGAAAATTGCACTTTGATTGTAGCCTTTGGTGAGCTACGTTTTTGAGTAAATAAATTTAGAAACCAAAGATTCGTGTAAAGCAGCATTTTTCTTCGAATTTCTCGTAGGCATTTTTGAATTTCGATCTAGAACCAAATTTATGAACTGTTGAACAACTAGACTTTACATGCGCGAAGTAGCATTTGTCATGTGCCTGGTTTACAAGAGTTACCTATTTTACTGGCGAAATTTAGCAAATTTTTACACAATGTATAACTAATATCTTAATGAGCTTGAAGAATTTAGTATTTGACACCTGCCATCTTGTTCTTGTCGGAACTGTGTCGTGTAAGCCTCTAGCAACCAATGGTCTCGCCATATTTCCCTAATGACAGTGACAAATCAGCGGACAAAATTCTGCAAAATCGTCCTCATTTTGTGCTTTTGGTCGAAAGTCGTACAGTTTTGGTTGCCTTTCAAGTGTGGCTACCGTTCGGCCAGGACAAAAAGAGAAAACTTGAATTGTCAACCGACTATTGATTGTGCACACTCCAGGATTGATTTGAGTCATTCAGTGTCTTCATTCAAGTGTTTATCGCTATCCTTGTCTACCGTTGAATGTAGCTCTGCCTTGGCTTAGACAGCTCATCTCCTTTTTTATTCACTTCTAATAAATTCAAATCTTTCCACACGACTTTCATTTTTCACCATACTTCCCAAACTCTAATAACAGACATTTATAATCCTGTTTTCCGGCTTCTTGTTTTAGTTTATGTCCACTCAAACTTAAGTATACGTTTTGTCAAGTGTTACCTCTTTATTCTATTCCGTACTACAGTAATTTGAGTTTAAAAAGACTGCACCTTTGAAAAGTTTCTAAACAAAAAGACTTCGAAAGTAGTTAACTGCTAGCTTTGTAATGTTGCCACACTGTGCATAAAACACTCGGAATAAATTTTAATTGCAGAAAATCATGTCGTTGAAATTTATTTGGGCGTACAGGGTCCTGCCAGTGCCATATTTTACGGTGGCTTGGAAGGGCCATTCGTCTCTCTCTCATTTTCTTCCTTGCTTTCAGCTAATCCACCACTTAACAGCCTCGCATCTTGTTATTCGGCCAGTTACCCCGCCTCTTATGCCACGGCTTATGCCATGACTTATGCTGTTCTTGGCGCATTTATTAGTAAGATTGAATTGCATAAATTGCAGCTTCATATTTTAAGCATCAAGATTTATTTATGTGTATTATTGTGCTTTGTGTTTAATTCAGCTATTGCTGTACAACCAACTTATTACAGCTTTATTCTGAATCATGAAAATGAGCTCAGCCGAAACGAACTTATTGAAAAATATTTTCATTTGGGACTTCAAGCAGCTGAAATACATGGATTTATTGTTAATGTCCATGGCGTTGCTTTAAGCATTATACAGCTCAAAAGAATTTTGCGTGGCAAAGGCTTTCAGAGAATAAAAGAGCCCAGTAATTTTGAAGAAGTCGTCAGATTTATTAATATAGAACTTGCATCAAACTTAATTCAACTTGGGTAACAGGCGATGCATCAGAAATTAACAAAAGATCATGGCCTTGTTGTAACCAGAAACGTCGTTCGTCAAATCCTGAAAGTTGTTCATCCTGAAAGCGTACAAGCACGCTCTCGTCATCGATTGAGAAGAAGACTACATTGTGCTAAATCCGAGGAGCAAGGATGTGACACAGAATTTACAAATCTAATTAGAATTATAATGGAAGAGGAAGAATTTAGAATGCCAACCAATCCAAATAAAGCAAAAAATCTATAATTAATGTTAATGCTACATATTGCTGAGTTAAACAATGAATAATCGTAAGACTTTAATGAAACAACATGAACACTTAAAGTACAATATAAATAAGCCTTGAGTGAAGTTTTCAATTGACACGCCACCACCATAGGTAAATGAGGGTAACGTAAAAAAAAAACTTCTGCGAACGTAGTAGATAGGACTTTATCCATTTTGTTTTTGTTTATTAAAAAACACAAATAATATCCACCACGGAATGACGGTGACATAAGATTGAGTTAGCACTGGAAGAGGATAACTACTTCCTGGGCTTTTGCTAATGATGATCGTTCTCTATCTCCCCCCAAGTTTTAAATGCTTATTAACAAAACAACACTTTACGATGGCTTCTATGACATTGCGTAGCCTCTATTCCTTTCAACCTTTATTATTATAATGCATGAGCCATCCTAGTGCGAGTGGTGGTTTACGGTTGGTTGTTCGAGTCTCGGTCTGTGGTTGGCAAACAGGTGTGCTTTGTTTGTTGAGTTTTGAGGGAATCTCAGTATCGTTGTATCGTGTTGCTGATGGTGTAGGAGTAGCTGCAAAGGATGGTCCTAGCAGTGTACTGAGCAAACGAAATTCATCCTGAATGGTGCGGGTTGCTGTAGGTATTTTCACAGGTACGTATTGACGTAAAAATTTACTGTTACGGATAGTTTGCCGTCCAGAACCGTCAAATTTAACGACATATTGGATGAGCTGCTGTATCTCTATCACTCGTCCAGTTTTGTCCTGTTTGCTTATATGTGTTACCGTTTTCTGGCAGACGAATGATCCCTCCACTATTGGGGAGGTGTTTTGTATGCTCTGACCCGCGCTCCGCTGCTTTCCTATGTCTGTTGCGTAGAGCATTTTCACGGACTAGTAGCGTGTCTTTCCACGTAGGTGGGGAGGTGTAGCGACAAGATTTTATCGGTATTAGATCTTTGAATGGTCGGCCAAATATGCATTGTGCAAGTGGCAAGCCCTTGTTTCGATCCGGGCCGTTTCTTTATTCTAATACGGCGCATTGCATCGAGTCAGTATCCAGGGTACCAACTGGCTTATGTTGTGACGTAAGATGCGTTTCATTGTATTGACGCCGACCTCAGCCCGACAATTTGAATTGGTGAAGGCAACGAATGACAAGCGGTGACAAATATTCCAATCCTTGAGGACTTTTTGAGTTAATTATGCGAGAAAATTCTGGGCCCCCGACTGTGGCGATATCGTAGATGTCACTCCTTGATGTAAGCAGTGTAGTATGTCTAGGATATGACGGCGGAGTGGTGCAAGGTTGACGATTCGTCCTTTGTAGAGGATTACGTCGTCGATGGTGTGCCGGTGTTTGCAGAATGGGAAATATTCTTGAATTTTAGGGGTAGGTTATTTTTTGACTTTGGGAAGCCTGATTCAATGATGCACATAAGCGTTAACAAAGAGGGGTCGCTTGTGGTGGCCTGTTTCACTGAATCCCATGATATTGCAAAATTTTTGATAATTACTGCAGCTGATGAAGGTGAGAGCTCGTGGAGGGATGTGTCTCAGAGATTATCTTCACATCAAGAACCAACGAGAAAGAACCACGCAATGGTATCAGTCTTTTTTATTTCATGGGCTTATGTAGTTGAAATTTAGTCCTGTAAGGGCAGGGCTTCGAGCTGCTTGTGGTCTGTTGGATGTCGTGATAGGGCGTCGCCGGCATTTTGTCTGGCGACAAGTAGATGAACCATTTTGAAGCGGTGTCGAAGGGTTTTATCATTCAAGTTACGCAGTATTAAGTTGGGGATGGTCTCTAGCGATCGGTCGTTGAAGATTTGTAACAGTGGATTGCAGTCGATAGCCATAATGATGTTGTTTCAGCCCAATACAGCGAATCTAGCCTTGTTAAGTGTGTCTGCAAAGGCTCAGGCCTATCCTTCGACTGGTACATATCTTGATTCTGATTCGTGGGTGAACAGACTGCAATCTTCGATCCGGTTGGACAGCAAAAGTGGTCTTTTCGATGTACACTAGTAGTGTTTTTAGAAGAGCCGAAAGCCGATGCCATTTTTTGGACCAATCTAAGGCTAAGCAGGTTGCTTTCGATTTATAAAATGTGCGTACGCTACTTTCGATTTATTTAACAATGACGTGCTTTGATTCTTCAAAGAGGTTATGTAGGTTATCGTTCCAATAAAATGAAGAAGCTGGCTTCGGTAGGTTTCTGAATGGTAGCATTCTGCTGGTGGTGGTGAATGCATACTATACTTTGTTGACGAGTTTAAACCATGAGCGAATGTCGGTGATATTCTGCGGTGTCGAGAAGTGATGTACTGCGTCAAAATACTCGCTCGTCCGCATGTAACGGGATGCTGTGATAGCCATTCCAGCATTCAAATAACAATTTCATGGTGTGTTGTGGGACAAAGCGGGCCTGGTGGAATGGTCTTTGGGTGTGATGCGTTTCTCTGGTAGCGTGGGCGTTAAGGGTGTTTACATAAACGTGCGACGTGGTTTTCCGTTTTTCTAAGGGCAGAGAACCATGCAGTGGTACCATGTGGCTAGATTGCTGATAGGCACTGGTTCGATGACCTCTAGTGCAACGTCCTAGTCGAGGCCCTCCTTCACCACAGCTTTCAGTTGAGTAGGATTGGTACTGGTGTGTGATGTGTGACGGATTTAGCATTCGGGTCAACTGTAAGTTTCACCTGAATACTAAATGAATGACCACAATCATTGGGATTGTGTCCATAAGTGGTTGTCGTTGATGTTTGCAGGTGCTGGCGCTGTTACGATATAATAGCCATTTTTGTAGGCGTTCCCGGGTGTTCTCTTTGGTACAAAGGTCATTTTGAGTCTGGATGGCTGAAATCTTGGTAAAAGGCCCAGGTTGCAATAGTCATTGTTACGAATGGTTGTAGTTGTGAAGATTTTCTTCACTTGTTGTCATTTTTGTCGTAGAAATGGCGGTCCAATGCAACAGTGTCTGTGTGTCCGATGAGTTGTGTTTCGATTGTTTCAGTGCAAAAAAATTGTCAAAGATTGCTCCTTTGGCTGAGTTTGTCGGACAGAGAGTTGGGCTTTGGGTTTGTCTTTGCTGCGACGTACGTGGGGAAAGTGGTTTTGTCTGTTGAATGTCTCACACGCGTGTCCGTACGCTGGGCATTTGGCCTTTTTGATTTTTGGTGGTGCGTTCTGACCATGTCCTTGGGTGCCGCAGATGATGGCAAGTTCAGAGGTTTGTTTCGTTTTTTCGTGTGTCCTTCATCATCGCGTTGTCCGCGTTTGTATTGGCTGCGAGTGGCTTCGGCTTCCTGTTTTTGGAATAGTTGGTTGGGTGAACGTTTGCCCATTTCTCTGCGTTCTACGAATTGTACTATTTCTTCCAAAATCTTATCCACCTTTTTGTCTGCAAGTAAATCGAGCTGTATTTCATTATCAGCCAGTCCCGATTTAAAACATCGCACAGTACATGATCGGTGTAATTCACATTATAGGCGCAGCTTGGGCAAGGTATGTTGAAGTTACAGAAGTTTGCTTGTTCACGTGCCCGTGCGCAGAAGCTTTGGATGGATTCGTCGTGGTCCTGTCGCAAGCTGTTCATTTGTGCACGGTCAACCATGGGACAACAGCTAGGTGTTTGATGGCGTCTAGGACCTCGTCAACCGATTTGTCAGAAATTGATTGGCATGCATTGCGGGTTAGGTGCTGCTTTTCGCAACATTGCAATAGTTGTAGAACTTTGTCGTGACCAGATATCTTTGTAGAATCAACGTAATCTTTTGTGACAAGAAATAAGGCCACTCTTAGCTTGTTCCATTTCGGGAGATGGTAGGACGTTTAATTTTTTCCGCTTTCGATGAGTTGGGGCAGGCTGCATTGTTTATATGAATAATGTTGGAGTGCAGTGCCAATAATACAGCTTCGAGGGCGTCTTCAACGTCGTCTGCTTCATATGTTTGTACGGGCATTGACCCTTTGCATTTTCTCGATGAATTATGTTTAATGTAGTGGAAGCACCGTGGTTGACGTGTATTCACATTTTCTTAAAAAGGCGTGACGATTTGTCGACTGCACTTTGTATCGCGCGTGTTTCGATTTGTATAAAGAATATCGCGAGATATGGCTTTATAAATGCCTGTTAATTGTTCCAGGGTTGCCTCATGATGATACCGTAATAGATAGCACTTTATCCATTTCCTTTTTATTAAGTAAAATACACAAATAATACCCGTCACGGAATGACGGTAATATAACATTGAGTTACCACTGCAAGACGATAACTAGTTCCCAGGCTTATGCGAATGATGATAATTCTCTACTTAAAACGTCAAATATGAAATGACGCACGTTATTGCTCAACACCAAAAATACAACATATAAGTTACAAGGCATATAGCAAAAATAACAAGAAAAAACTCAACAAAATTAATTAGAAAATCGAAGAAATTATTTAACAGTTATATCTCAATGCCAATTGTTAACCATGCGTTAGTTGGTATGATTAGATTGGACAGTCATGCAATGTCTATATCTGACGAAAACTACGTACATGCTGTAGAAGTTTAAAGTGGAAAGATTTGGTGTGTGCATTTTTTTAAATAGTGACTTGCAACAAAACAACATTCCGAACGTGATAAACATATTTATACTGTAGAGTATTACAATTAGTCTTAATAAATAATAAAAACCTAACGTGTGTATGTTTGGAGTACACGATATCCGACATAAGTGGCGCCTCCGGGAGGGCGATACATCAAAAAGGGCAACAGTCGAAGAACTCCAAGTTATTATTCAATTGAAAATGCAACTAAAAAACTTACACAAATGGAAACAAAGAAATTTAAAGGAACATTTGATATTGACGCAGAGTACGAGACTTTAGAGGAACGTCATAAAATTATACAGGATAGATTGCTGAAGTGTTATGCCGAAGAAGTAGGGTACATAAAATCAAGTCTTAGTACTAAAGACTGTTATGGGTGCAGTGTTAATCCCCCTTCAAAAGCTGCCATGAATGTTTGATGATGCCGAACAATGAAAAAAACATTTTACTTTGATAATGCTACATTAAAAATTGATGAAGAAGATTTAATGAAATCGTTCTTCGATAGCTTAAGTGACCTTAGTTCAAAAGATAGATCACCGACTAAGTCGTGAAATTATAATTAGTTTTGCTTAACGAATAATTGATAAAGAAAAGAATTATTAAATGGAGGTGCGTGTTTATTGGACCTAAACTGGAATTTTTCAGTTGCAAATTTATCGACTGTCGAATACTTTAAAAAGAGAGAAATCAAACACTTTTTGATTAACAGTATCATTTGCCACAAAAACTATTTCGTTGATCTATTTTTCGCGTGATATTGCAAACTCCGTCATATGAATATATCGCTCATGGGAGTTTAAAACT